GTAGGTGTCAGTAATTACAGCTAATTTTAATATTTAAAAAAACCATTGGGACAGATTTTTATGTATGGATGGAAACGACTGGTGTCGACTGAGTTGAATGACAAGGCTTTATAAAACAACTGCGAGTGCAGGTGCACCCCACAGCACCATCTGCAGGGGAGGACAGGAAGACGCAAATAAAAAAAATAAAAAATATACTCCAGATAATTCGCTAAAAAACTAAAGCCAGGTTGAACAGATGTGTTGATTGTCTGTTTTGCTTAGTTAAGAATATGTGTGATTTTTTTTTCTTCAAATGTTTGAAGGATTGCTATCAGGAGTTGAAATGTGACTCTTTTTTGTTTATATCATGATGTGATCAGCTGCTCTGACAATTAAAGAAACCACGAGCCTCGGAGTCTGTGATGGGTCCTGGTGAAATAGTGGGATGATTCCATGGCTTTGCTGCTGTCTGGGCTTTTCAGACAGTTTAATGAAGATAAACTGCGGTGCAGGAGTGTGCCGCAGCAGCAGGAGGCTGAGAATTTAACAACACATCAGTCCTGCCTTCAGACAAGGGAAAGATTTAAGGCAGTCACCCACAAACATTTATAGACGAACACAGACAGGTTTAACAGATTTCCTGTTTTGCTGACGTTAAAAAAAAACAAAAAACTCCCCTTCGTTTTCTTAACTTCATCTCCAATACCTACCTGTGTAGAGCTCTATACTAAAGTACTACAATATTAATGCCATGACATACTGTTTGGCTCGTGTGCTTTGCTTCCACTAATTACAGAGGAAGTTGAGGTTTCCAGGTTATTAATGAAATGTGAAAACTGCAGTGGAACTCTGAATTCCACTGCAGTTTTTTCTAGCAGCAGTGAAAGAACAGTTCCTGCCTTAAAAACATGCACAGGAAGTGATTTATTCAAGCTACTAGGTTAGTACGAGTAGTTACTTGTTTCCTACAACTACAACTGGGTATATTTATACTGTTTATCTAGATTTTTATGTATTTTTTTTAATATATAAATTATATTTCTAAACCCTCCTCTGTCTCTCTGTCTCCCTCCAACTGCTCTGCCCACACCCCCCTGTGTGTACTGTACTGTACTGTACTGTACTGTACACAGTGTGTGATTATTTCCAGTTGTAACACATTAGAGCCAACACATTTTGATTTTATGACTATAATGATTAAACCAGTAAACAACGTATGAACACACTGGTTATGAATTCATGATTTGGATCTGATTTGAATCTGCTTTTTTTTTTTTTCTTTTTTTTTCCTATTACCAGGCAAATCTGGCCATGACTGGAAAAACCGACCAATCACAGGACTCATTTGCTGCTGTGGCTTTTTAAATTGAGATCTTAGGACCTTTTCTACCAATGCTATAAAGCAGCGTAGAAAATAAAAAAAGTCTGTTGTAAAACTGGAAATATTTAACTAGTTTTAGACAAGACAAAGACATGGAACCGCTTCTAATTATCACATGAGCTCGGTTTGTGTTTGAGGCTGAACCTGATTGACTTGTCATGAAAAGGTCGAAGGACCTCGTGTTTAGTTTCTGATTTTTTGTCGTTGATTCATTTGGTCGAGTGATGCAGTTGTTCTCAGTCAACACAGTAAATAATCGAACGCTGTGTTAAATCCTTTCATATTTCTCCACACTACTGTGATCAACGCTACAGCTCTGGGTGAAAAAATAAAAAAAAATCCCCCACTTCTCCCGTGTTCATGCTCATCAACACTCTCCTCCCCGGCTCTGCATGAAAAGTTTGCTTCTTAACTCCTCCTGTTATTAGATTTGACTAGCTCATTTTTCATCTTGACAGCTACACCAAGGCAGCCTGAGAAGGCTTGGGTGTGTGTGTGTGTGTGTGTGTGTGTGTAAGTAAATTAGTATGGTTTCCTTGCCTATTTCCCTTAAGTCTGCTCATCCTTGTCGCCATTTCAAAAGCTGTTCTTTTCTTCTTTTTCTGCCTCAGATTCCTCGAATCCCCCCCTCCTTAACCCACCATCTTATTACTCTTTCTTCCCTGCTCCTCCTCCATGATATTTTCTGTCTTTTTTTTCACCAAAGGGGGAAAAAAAACACTTGTCTTCTGGCTGCCAGTTCGTCTCCAGCCTCTCCAAACCTTTCCCTGCCTCGCTATTGGTTGGCAGGAGCTGCTGCTGTGTTGGTATTGGCTGTTTCCAGCAGGTGAGGCAGAGCTGTGCCACTTAATCAATGCCCTGTGGTGAAGGAAGTAAGTGCCAGAAAGTGCAGCACGAGGAGCTGCAGCCGTCAGCACTGGCAGCTCTCCATGAGGCTGAGCATGGGGATGGCATGACCTTCAGACGGCTGGGACCAGCAGTGAAAGACAAACAAACAATATGTAGGGTTCACACACACACACACACACACATTCACATATATGCTGGTTTGTTAGCACTTTACATTGACAAATTTCTATCCTAAAACCCTTTCGAAAAAAGTACTTAGGAATTCCATTCCATCGTGCGACGTAACTCGATTTCCGTCAGTCGGAACTAACGTACCGTACATAAGTACCATTTCCATCGTGCTACGTGATGATGTATTCGCGGGCTCTGCTTGGCAACTAGTTCCCGCACAAAATTGGTTTAAATGCCGTAGGTCAGGCTAAAGAAACAGTACTTAATAAATGTATAGAAGATGCTAACTCTAAAACGCCGAAGAAACAGTACTTAATACATTTATAGAAGATGCTAACTCTAAAACGCCGTAGGTGGAGGATGTCCTAACTCGAGGGTTAGCCTCTACCCTAACTCCAATTTTATCATGAATGAACCTCCACATTAAACCTCAAAACAACCTCTCACTCTGTGGAGAACTGAAAAGTGTCCCCAAAAGGAAATGGTCCCAGTAATCCAAAAACAATGTCCCCACAAATATACGTATCCTGTACCTGAAACACACACTAAAATACTAGTTCTACAGGTTTTACTGCAAATCTCATTCCTCCTTTAATTGTCCACCAAAGTTTACTTTCCAAGGCTGAGGACATCGTTGGCCTTTTACAATAGGACAGTGAGCTTATTGGCACTTGTTGAAGGTCAAACACACACACACACACACACACACACAGCAGCACAGAGTGCGTAACTCAGTCACCAGGAGCAGGATCGTATGTTGCACTTTTACATTTTAACAAACCACAGAAATGTGTGACCTCACTCGTCTCCACGACAGTTATTTCACTTTTTTTTAACTCGGCTCCACATTCTCCTGTCAAGATGATGGTGTTTGAATAGCTTGTGGTTCAGTTCGGCTGAAATGAGGTTAATGCTAACCTTCCCCCGGATTATGAATGACACTGTTCATCAAAGTCAAGCAAAGATTCTCGGTGCGCTAAATTTCAAGGACGTGAAATCCCTGAACCCAGCCCAAGGACTGTGGACGGGACTCGTCAAATTCTACAAACCACTGAGTCCTTTCCACAGACTGTTACGAGGGGAGTTACCCCCTGAACATGCACCAACGCTCTTATATCATCCCCGTGTCTGTAACCGGGGTGAGAGTCTAGCGTTATCAGGGTGGACTGCAGTGATCCTACTGTTGAAGGGTTCTGGACTTGAAGGGTTGGCAGAATATTTCTGATGTCTCGTAGATGTCGATGGTCAAAGAACCATGAACCAAAGAACCATGAACCATGAAGTTCAAGACCAGAGGCAATAAAACATGTCAACAATGGGAGGGGGGGTCAGTCAGAGGTAGATGGGAGAAAGATGGTTGGAAGACCTGAACTCCATTATTGGGACGACGATAGTCGACAAATCCAACATGGCGTCTTTTGACGTCACAGTTTTAAGGTTGAAGGTATTTAAGTACAAACACCTCAGACATTACCCATGATTCCTCTGTCTTGTTGTCACTTTGTCCGGTGATTCCTTGGAATCACAGCTTTGTTTTGTTCGTTTGACTTTTGTGGGTTGTTCATTGAGTTGGCATGACTTTACAATTGTGTCAGAAGGCTGTGTGTGTCAGGATGAGTATTACAGTAAAAAAAAAACATCATATCATGAACATATACAGTTTATAAAACACCGTACCTTGATCTCTCGTTTGTTGGTAACCACTGCACGAGTCACAACTTTGTTGTTTTTTTCTATGTTTTGTTTAAGTCAGACATCACATTACTTTAGTGTAGTCTTAAAGCAAAACTAACAGAAAGAGCAGAAGTTAATATATGAGGCTGTAGGTATCAGTGATCCAGGTGTAATCTAGATCAGGACTGGACCAGGACACTGTCCAGTTCCTGGGTGTGTTTTTGTGGTGAAGTCTGTGTCAAACCTTTTCATATATTTCTGCATAGTTGATGTGTCCACGCGTTATTATGGGATGACTGGACAGCAGACAGCTGCTGCAGGACCCATCAGTCAGTTGTTGTATTTATAGCGCGGTGACCACAGAATGCAAACAGCTGCCTGACTCGAGGGACAGAGTCAGAGAGCGAGACAGGACGGGACACAGGACGTGACGTCGCACCCTGTTCAACTCTGCTGTATTTAACAAGTCCATGTGTTTCCCATTTGTTCTCATCTATGTTTGTGTTTCAAAATTCATAAAGTGGACCTGATTCAACACCCTAGCGGGCCAGTTTTGGCCCACGGGCCGTATGTTTGAGCCCACATCCAAAATATTTTAAATAAGTCATATTTTGCATTTTAATACGCTGAATGAAATCATCACATCAACTTTATCTGATGCCGAAGAATGACACTGGGGTTCTTTTGTATTTTCGTCTGCCTTGCCTTAAGGGCAGCTGCGATATTCCCCAGAGACGTCACTATTTACATTAACTACAATCATTACTTTGGACTAGTCACTCCCCGAGCCCAACATCAGTGATTAATTTGTGTATCTTGACTCTTGACATGGTAACTGTCAGGAGGAAATAAAGTCAATATGATTTAAAACTTTTCTTTTCTTTCTTTTTTTTTCAGCCTGTGCATCACTTTGATAATGTGTATGTGTGTTCCCAACACTTACATAATAGCTGCCACATGTCATCAGTTGCTTGTAGCCTCCAGTCCTGGCAGCTCCTGAGGACAGGAAAAGATAAAGCAAGTTATTATCTCAACGACTATAGAGAATTGGCAGAGCCAACAGGCAGGAAATGCTTTGACTGATTGTTCCTAAATGAATCGTAGCAGAAAATAAATATTCACTTTCACCCTTTAAATGTCATCCCGGAGGGAGTGATGAAATATTAGAAGAGCAGATTCTTTACATTCTTCGGCTGAAAAAAAATTTCTTTCACACTCAAGTTTTTTTTTGTTTTTTTTTAACCCAGCGTTCATGTTAAATGAACCTGTCACAGCAGTTTTCGCAGCCTGAGCGTCTTGAGACGTGAAATAGAATACAGATGATATAGTTGTCGTTAACGTCTCTGTTTCCTTGTTTGTGTTTTCCATCCTCTCGTTCATTAGCCCAGTTTTCAGACACCTTCATATAGCGCTGTGTCATGTCCTGCTGTTTTGTCTTTTACTGTTCATGTTGTTAAATTTTTAATATAACTCTACTGTCACACCATAAAGACACAAGAAGTCAAGTCTTAACTGTCTGTCGGTGCCTGTGGCCCGGTGGAAATATAAAAGTTTATTAATCTGTCGTAAAGTTTGGTAGTTAATAAGTCGACTTTAGAGAAGGCAGGAATTAAAGTGAGTGTAAAGTTGAAATGCAAAGCAAAGGAAAATCTTATTTTGGAGGGAGTGGGGGGGGGTCACAGTTTAGGTGTGTGTTTGTGTATCAATAAATGTTTATGCAACTGAATATAATTTATTGAAGGTACAAATATACATTTACTGTGTAAAAAAAACTTAATTAATTTAATCAAGTTAGGAAAACTCTGCGTCATGGGCCATACATCATATTATCAAATTAGGAAACTCTGCGTCATGGGCCATACATCATGACTTGGCGGGCTGTATTTGGTCCCCGGGCCTTCAGTTTGACACGTGCTTTGAGGGAACCTGCAGTAACAAAGTGGATTCTCTTGTAGTAAAGTTTAGGTTCAGTTTTCTGCAACTGTTTTCAAATACTTTTCAGACAAATTACCAGAGCGTCTGTAATCTGTCTGGTAATCTGGTTAATCTGTTACCAGTTTATCCAAGGAATTACACAAACCAGACTGTGGGACGGACTGAGGTGATTGACAGGAACTGAGAGCCCTGAGAGTTAGATGACCTTTCAACTCGCAACAAAGTGGCCACGCAGGAAGGATCACATTCACAACTGGCAACGCTACAATCTGATCACATTAGGAGCGCGATCACCTCCGGATGTTTTTCGGCCGATCTGATAGCATTTAGATAGCAATACGCTGTGTGCACATTCACACCTGCATCGATACACACACACACACACAGACACACACTTACTGTTCTAGAGAAGATAAGGTCCAGATTGAGACTCGGTACAAAAGGAGCTGAAGGTAAAATGTGTGCAGTTTGAAATGTAGAGACCCAGAGATTCTCTATCAGTTTAATTACATTTTATTAACGCGTTCCGCTCCGAGTCTCTGCCGACTGTAACGATGAAAGGAGTACATTTGTCAACAGTTTTTGTTTTTCTTTGATGATAACGTAAGGTGAGGTGTTGGAGTTGTTCACTTTATTTTAATATACCTCGAAATGATGGATGAAGTCAGATGATAAAATCATTTAAAGATCCATAGGACTCTAGTGCCACTTATGGAATTTGTATTCCAACACGTACACCGAGCTGAGATAACGGACTTGGTGTCTTGTGA